TACCAGCTTGGTGTTATTGGAAATCCACAGGGGAATACGCCTTCTAGGAAAGAAGAGAGCTTCCTTCTCTTGCACAATGCCACAGGCTGGACCACAGGGCCCAGGGGCTGGAAGCCACAATGCACCCCTGCTCCCGGGGGGGGTTATTGCACTGCCTTGGCCAGAGGTCACTGTGCCAGCAGAGAAGGCGCCACAGCCTCTCCTGGGGAAACGGTTGCTTCGTCTTTAAAATAAAAACCCACAGAAGGACCAAAAATAAAGTCTGCCCCATCTCTGCGTTCGCCTCTCCATCTCAGATCTTACTTCCCCCCGGATCACAGCCTAGGGGAAGCGTCCTTTGGGTCTGCACTGCAGGCTCTGCTCAGCCCCCCGTCCTGCAGCCACATCCTCAGCGCGGCTCAGCTGCGGGACTTGGAGGCAGGAAGGGGCTGCACACCCACCGGCAGCACCAGGAGCGCGCAGCCCACGCCAGGACGCACAGCCTCCCCCCAGGGCACCCCAGGAGGGGGCAGGGGCCGCGCAGCACCCTCGCACCACGACGCCCCCGGCCGCCAGCACTATTCTTCACCTTGTCACTTCCCATTATCTTAGCCCGGCAGGCCGCATTCAGCTGCTCTGCTCGGGGTGACATCGCCGTGCAGGGCCGGGGGGGAAGCAGAGGCAGTGAGATCAGCACGGTGAGGGCACGCGGTGCTGCACGCAGCCAAAGCCCCCCAGCAGCCTGGGAACCTTCCAAGGCTCCCCATCAATCCTCACATGGAAGTTGCCAGCGTTTACCTGCAGAAGCACGGCAGCTGGGATGACCCCGCGCCGCTCCGTCCCTCGAAGACCGAAGCTTCCCTTCCTATCTACACCCTTCCCAGCCACTTGGTCAGCACAAGCGATGCCAAAAGGCACCGAACACCTCGGAGCCATCTGCTCCAGAAGCATTCCTGCAGTTTGCAGGGGCTGCTGTCAGCCTGCAGCACGCTCCTTGCGAGGGCCGTTGCGTTGCACTGGGACAGTTCTGACTTTGCTCGCACACGTTCTGGCTGCATTCTTTTATTCTGACCTAGTTTCTGCTTCCTGCTGAAAAGTTTTTCTAACGTGCAAATGCATGCAATGTGTTTTAGTTCTTTAAAAAGTGAAACGAAGGCAATTTTCAACCCTCCCCTCCCCCCCCTCTAAATGCAGCTGCCTTAGTTACGACTGGTCCAGCTCAGAGGGAGAGAGAAAACCCTCTGAAAATTACCTAAAGTAGCTCTTAAGATGCCCCAGATGCATTCAGAAGTGGAAGAGAAGTGCCTGGGTTCCAACCCAGGGAAGCAGGCTCTGCATCCCAGCGCAGAAGACGCAGAGCAGAGCAACACAGAGCCCGCAGCAGCCAGAAATAGAGAAGTGTGGGGAGAGGAAATTACAGAGGGGTAGATGTGCCCCCTCAGGCCGAGCGGGAGAGACAGCAAGACTCATTTCTCGAGGACAAACCGACCGCAGGAATCAGTCGCGCTGCTCAGAGCTGCCGGCGCACGGCACCACGGACTGCGCTGGCCCTGGTGTCAACCAGAAGCAATCCTCCTCTCCCACCGATCCCTTTCCTCTCTGCCAACATCAGCACTTCTCCCCACCGCCTCCTCCCTGCTTCCCCGGCGGTTGTTTCTCCTCCAGAGGTTGGCAGGGGTTGTTTGGAAAGATGGCAGGCAGAAAAAACTCTCCAGGAAAAGGATTCCTCTCCTCAGCACGTTACCGCAAAGCTCGCTGGAAGCCAAACAATTCAGCCAACTGTTTTCTCTCCCTCTCTCATTTCAGTATTTTGTATACACACAACTTTCCCTGCTCTCCTGCCCCCTGCTCTCCCCCATCCCCACGCCAACGTCAGGCAGCAGCAGGCCAGCTCTCCTCGGCTAATAGCAGGCAGCGCACACAGCGGTTCTCAGCTGCCGCATGAGAAATAAGCTCTCATTAACGAGAATTAAAGCAGTGTTAACCTACAGCCGTGACTGATGGACGCATTAAAACGTTAACTCTTCCCAGCCATCGTCTTGCTGCTGCTCACAGCCCGGTGTTGCTGCACTCCAGCAGCAAAATGGAAGGCTAACAGCTCTGCCAACGCAAGTGAAGTTCCCCAAGGGGGTCCGTAGCCAATAAGGGCGCTGCTGAGGGCAGCCCTCAGCACAGAACCCCCCGTCCTACCCAAAAAGTCACCCAGGGACGGTGAGAATGGGGCTGGCAGTGCACATCCCCCCCGGGATCCTTTGTTCCCTGCAGCCCAGGGATGCCCTCCGGACTCCCAACGACCCCCCCAGCCTCACCTCCCCGCGCCCGGCCTCGAACAGAGGAGGGTTAATCAGCTAATTGCTTTGCGAGGCAGTTTGAGACCTCGGCGTCAAGGAGGAGATAGAAAAGCCAATTATTTTGGTCATCTGTTCGGATCCAGGAAGGTATTTGATAATGTCACACAAAGGTGGCAAACAGAGCTTTTATGCTCTCCCGGGGGCTCTCGCGATCCATTTGGTGCCAGCGCTTCCTCAGCGGGAGACTTATGAGACTATTTTATACATAAAGAGCAAAGCATCCCCTCGGAGAGATGCTTCTGAACCACGGCCGCAGCGTGGGCAACCCCCTCTGCAGCATCCAACCCTGCATATAAAACACGAAGCTCCACATCCCTCCCCTGGGGAGCGGAGCCGAGCGGCACAGGGAGCAGCTGCCGCAGAGAGGGAACATTTACAAGTGTGGGGGGTTAAGTACAGCTAACAGGAGTCAAGGGATGGGAGCCGTGGGTCAGAAGAGCGTGCGCTTTAACAGGAGGCCTCGGAGGGGAGAGGCAGTGCTACGGGGAGATAAACGCTTGCTTGATTTATTTTAGAAATTAATTTGATGGCCCTGCGCTGCCTTGAGACAAATGAGCACCTGCCTCTCCTGCTCCCATGCAGCCCAGCTCCCTGCCCTGCTCCAGCGCCGCGCTCTCGCTTCCCCCTTTGGGCAGAGAGGAAGAGGATTTTCAACTTGAAAGATTTCTACCCCAGAGGGCTAACAGAGGGGGAAGGGGGGGTTCAAAGCTACAGATGAGTTCACAGCCACTAACGCAGCGCTGCATTTGCTCCCTGCTCACAGCGGGGCTGAAATCCCCCCTTAGTTACGATTCTCCCCCTCGCATCCCTACCCCTCCCCAAACCAATTTGAATGGGAAATGAAGTGTGGCTCCGCAGAGACAATGGTTTATTGTAAAGTTGGGGGGGGGTTTTGTTGTTGTTTTTCTTTTGTTGGCTTTTTTTCTTTTTCTTTTTTTTTTTTTTGTGCTGCAACGCAGGGTATAAAAACCTGCCAAGACACATGTAAACATTCGCCACCACCAGGCTCCCCCGTAATGAAAAGCTATAAAGAACACCCAGGTGGGAAGCACAATGCTACCAGCTAATTAAAGTAACCAATAATCTTCCTCCCAGGAATGCGAGTGTGTTCCGCTCAGTGGGAGAAGCCGCTTCTAAGCCCGTGAACTCGACTTCCTGGTGGAGCAAACCCCCCCCCCCCCCCCAAAAATAAATAGGAATAAAAGGACACAGCGCAGCGAGGTGGGCACAAAGGCCGAGTGGGGAAGCTGCAGAGTGAGCCGCTGCGGCCCTGGGCACGGCACTGCCCTGCTGCTGAGCCTCCATCCGTGCAGGAGCAGCTCAGCAGCACACAGAGCTCAGGGAGCCCCCGCTTTGTGCCCTGGGGTTTGGGGTTTTCAGCCCCCGCTGCCCCGCTGTTGAGTTGTGGACACGCAGGCCTGCCCAGAGAAGGCCACGGCCGTAAAACGTTGACAAGGCATATATTCCTCCTGAAAAATGGGAGCTCCTGGTGACAGGGTTAATGATGTTTGAGCAGCCTCTCACCCTGAGCTCCATGTATCCCGGCTTTAATGCACTGCCCTCCTTCCCCCACCCCCAAAGGGACAGGGGAGGGAAGGAGGGAGGGGGGCGGGTGGGGGGGTGCTGGGAAACAGCGACCTCCAATGCCAGATATTTTCTACATCAGTGAATTCCCAGGGCCGGTGGAATAAAGCGGAACGCTCATACATAGAGAAACAGGCAGCAAAAAAGGTCAACTCCATCCCCCCGAGGAGGAGAGGGGCTCATTTCGCAGGGATGAAGGAAGATCAACCTCCCCAAGCTCTTACCCTTTCCAGATCGAGAGGAGAAGTCTCCATGCCAACATCACCCAGCTGTTATCACTGGACAATTCGCTTTCATTCCCCACTATTTCCGAGCAGTGCTGCAGCACCAGGGCTGCTAAAAGCCAGCAGAGGAACGGGGCCGCTTCCATTCAGGAGGCACGCAGGACGCCACTCTCATCTCACTGCATGTTTTATCCTTCCTCCCATTTTACCCAAACGTGCTGCACTCACCTCATCCTGGCTCATCAGGGAATGATCACAGCCACGTGTGTCCCCAGCACGCCCTGCTGCCTGCCCCTCAGCCCCCTGCCCCACACACAAAGCTATCAACGAAACCAGCTGCTACACACAAGGACTGGAGGGCGACCACGCTCAGAAGCTTGGCAGTATTTCTCCAAAGCTTCCAGACCGAATTCATCCCCCTCCAAAATTCACTTCATTTGTACTTCAAAGAGGTACCAGGGAGCTCTTCAGAGAGCTCATTACCTTGCTCTTTACAGACCAGGCTTCTACCCCCAGTCAGAAATGTGCACTTACACAGAAACACCCGAAAACAAACCAAATTACGCAGCCTGCTACACGGCCTCCCTTCCCACGTCCAAACCAGACCAATCACCTTAAAATTCAACACCTCTGTTCACCCGTCACAACTTTCTCCACACCGTATTAAGCCTCACACAAAACAAACAGAGGGAAAGATGAAGGAAACGATGTTGACATGAGTCTCCCGGGGCCCGGAGCCCACACTGCTGCATTAATAACACGACGTAAAAGCTCCAGCAGCGAGGAGGCTTTGAACTGTGTGCTATGAGCCCTGGGCTCCTCCGGAGGTGCAAAGTGTGTCCTGGAGGCCAATGCACCTTACCTTCTTGGAGAGCGAGGAGACATTCAAACCAAACCTCTGAGCCCTTTCCTTTAATTTATCCATGTTTACCTACAAAGACACAGGAAACTGATTTTTAAATCGCCGTCGCTCGCGCCGCAGGGAAAAGGCTCTGCCAGGAGAAACCGTGCGCTGCAGCCCCCAGAATAAAACCCCGGTGCTGCGCTCCCCCAAAACTCAGCCGGTGCTGTTGGGAAGCTGGGCCTGAAGGCAGAACCCAGACGGAGCAGCCCCACACTGCTCACAACAACCAAAGGGCAAACGCCGTGCTGCCTGTCCTCTCCTGAAGGGCCGGCAGATTCAGGCTGCTCCCGTGAGCCTGCTGCACCTGGCAGCTCCCTGCTGGACCCGACAGCGGCCCTGAAGCAGCACGGCCTCCACCACCAGCAAACAAAGCTCCTCGGGCAATCCTGCCAGTGCTCCTGCACTCGTCACTGCTCTCTGCCTGCTGCAGGTTAAGGAGCTGCTGCTGTACCCTCTCTCTTCCAAAACTCATCACATCAGCTGCCATGACCAAGCACAGCACCCAGCCTGCCTGCGATTTTCCTGCCAAACACTGTAGAGGGACGGGAACCTATGAAGTCGATGCAAGCACAACATCCAGGTAGGCAACTTCATCAGCTGCCACTCTACAGATGTTGTTCTTGGACCATTTTGATGGCCCGGTTTACTCCCACAGGCAGGAACTTCTTTGCACAAACGACAAGCCGCATTAAGAGCCTGAGCAGAGGAAATTTAGGAACAAGAAGCATCTCTTACCGTAGGTTTGCTGTCTGCAGAGAGGCCTGAGATGAGAAGAAAACAGAAAACTCCATTAGAGAACAAACATCTGGAACAGTAAATTATCTGAAAAGAGGAGCAGTGAAGTCACAGCACCGCTGGAAGCACGCGCCAGTCTGACCAGCAACTGGTGAAGAACTGCTGCCCCATTTCTCCCAGTTTCTGTATCATTCACTCAAGGGTGTCACCAAATTTCATCCCCAAGTCAGCTTTTCCCACCCGTAAGGTTTTACCCACGCTTTTCATCCCAACTCTACACTTTCTGCTCAGAAACCCTGGGTGTGGACAGACGGTAAAACAAAGACAGCCTCACCAGCGACTTTTTCTTTCCCAGGAATAAATAAATATTTGCAGTAAGGTCACTCCATTAATTGGTTCTGCTTCACCTTCTCACCTTTTGTCGAAACTGTGGCCAAACCAAACCTGCAGAAAGTAAATAGAGCTCAGTGAGACCCAAGCAAACACGAGGTGGGTATCTGACACATCAAGGCTTCAGCAAGCACAACACGAATTCTTCCTCCAAAGGCTTTTCTTAAGCATACCTCAGTCAAACCCATTGAGAGGAGCTGGGAATTACTGGCTAATGGAACCACCACAGAAACTCCTGTGTGCCAACAGCAATTCCTCACTTATTTGCAAGGAGAAAGAGCCACGTGGCAGCAACACAACTGCTGCCTGCGCCAGGTGAGAACGGGGCACTCACCGAGCCGCGCGCGCTGCCTTCTTGCTCTCCAGGCTCACGGGGACGTTGAAGCGCTCGGCCCTCTTCTGCATTCTCTGCAGGTGGGAGAAAAAGAATCCAGAGAAGGAGAGTGAGGACTCGAAGTCTACGGAAAGGAAACGGGAAGAGGCACAGACTGAATGCAGGATGGGCGAACGCCTCCATGCGCACGTGCCTGAGACACGGAGAGGCTTGGGAATGGCAGAAGCACCAAAAAACATCCAAATCCCCTCAAAGGCCGAAAGGAAATATCTCACATTTTCTTGTTACACAAGGGCCCAGAAATGCGTTTGGTGTTTTAGAGGTTAGAGAAACAGATAGGATTTTCAGGGAAACATTTCCTTTGGCCAAAAGCTCAGCGAGGAGCGCAATAAACATCTGCATCAAAACATAAACGTTTGGAACAGATGGAGTAGGAATGGCTCCCCTAACGGTGTCAGCACCGAAGCTGAGAAGTCACTTGAAAGACAGCTCAAAGCACACTTCCTTATCCACGCTCTTTGATGGATATCCAAAAGAAATACATGATAGTGGGCGGCCACACAAAGGCCCTGTTGGATCAACAGCCCAAAAGCAGGCGGTGGCAGCACAGCTCAGGTCACCCCACCAAGAAAGAACCCCCCTGACCTTCCACCAACGAATGAAGTCTTTCAATATTCAGCTATTGCTGAGAACAGGTAAACCAAACCCAGTTAACGTTCAGTTAATCGTATCAGTACCTAAATGCAGACCTTCTCCTGGCAATCCCACGGGTTCTGATGTTTAGAAGCATTAAATGTGTGGCACAGCAACAGCCTCAACAAGAGCAGGCTTGGGGATTGGCAGAGATTGGTTGGGCTTCCCTGCCAGTGATGGATGAAATGGTCCATATTTCCTGCACTATTTCCTACACTGTTTCCTGGAGCAGCCGACCTCTGATAATCCACAGTGCGCCATAGGGAGAAACAGCTCTGTCCTCTTCTAAAAGATCTCAGTGATGCTGAAAGGCACCCAATCCATGCACAGCCTCACAAGAAGTGGCTTTCCTGTGAATTGGCTCTATGGAATTCGAGGGGAAAAAACCCCAAAGGATGAGAGTGTAACGTCAGCAGATCTGTTAATGAGCTCTTTAAGCAGCTACGGCCAAGGGCAGCCCCAAATCACAGGGGAGCATCGATCCTCCACCAGGTACCACATTTCTCTTCATTACTCCTTCAGCTGAGGTCATAATCCTCTGCCTGCGACATGGCCCTGGTTGCTGTGGAAATGATCCTGTCCCAAACAGGAGATTAGAGCTCCAAAGCAGCAGCGAACAGCAGGAAGACAAGAATCATGTTTTCATACTGACTGCTTTCTTACGGAGCATGAGTGGGAAACTAAAATGGGGGGGTTGTGATTAGAGAACCAGAGTGAGATTCCTGAAACTCCAAGTTTCACAAAGCTTTCCCAGAGGAATCAGTGGCTTCTAAGAGTGTTTGTTTGAAGTAAGCCCAGCAAATACAAGTGGCAAAGCTACAGAAGATAAAGATGAGATGATCTGTTAGTGCTTCCCAAACCGATTACTCCCTGAAGGATGAAGGATAACCTCAGCAAAGCTTTGTAGTTTTGTGTTTGAAGCAAGCAGGCTTGCAGCAAGCCCCAAGGGACAGAGATGGGCATCTCTGCACGGAACGCTGCGTGCTCTCAGCAGCAGGAAGGGAAGCACAATTTAGACAGTGAAGTTACAACAGGACAGTGCAAATCCATCAGGCTAAGTCACGTCTGCAATGGAAGGATGCACCAGGAGCAGCTCAGCTCGTCTCTGAGTTGGAAAGATTGCCATAGGGTCAGCTGGCTGGGGACAGATAGAAATGGCAGCGAGGAGGAATGCAGCTCCAGACAGCTGAGAGAAGCACTCCATCAGACCACAGCAAAACGGAACGTGCTGGGGGTCAGCAGGCTGCTAGCTCAGCCCGGTCATTAATAACCAACTAATTAACCAAGCCAAAATAACGGTTTGCAACGGAAACACAGCCTCAGCAACGTACAAAAGAGATTCTGAATGAAGCAACAAGCCAAGCGATAGCTGGGGGATGAGGGTGAAGTTGCAGAAGGAAGCTTACCTCCATCTGTGAGATTTCTGATGTTATTTTCACTACTTTCTTTTCCGTGCTCCTACAGGTGTTGGAAAAGAGAAACAAACATCAGTCAGAATTCCCAACAGCTTCACATCACACCTGAGCAGGAGGCAGACCGGGGCTCCCCTCCTCAACCCCACCCCTGGGGAACCCCAGCCTCAAGTGAGGCTCTGCTCACAAGAGGACAGCAGCCCCAAGCCAGCATCCCTGTTAAAGCAGCAGGCTGAGAGCCCTGATAGTGATGCTGGAGTCTGAAGCCTGTGAAGCTCGCAAGTCAAGTCTGAGGTGTGCAGGGAACCAAAGGAGCTGGTGAAGACGCAGCCACCAGTTCTCCTCCTAGCTCAGCGACTGCCTTCAGCACCCCTGAGCTCCTTTAGTGAAGATGGGAGACAAGCTGAAGGCCCCAGAAGACCACAAACCACAAGATCCACCCTCAGCACTCACATCTGCTCTCCACAAAGGCTTGGAGAGAGAAATGAACCCAGTTTAAGGCACGAGGAACGCCCCGCAATTTCAGTGGGGTGCTGCAGGAGCACACGGGGTGGGTTTAATTCAGCAAGAGACTGTGGATCCGCAACCCAGGAACAATCTCCTGCACATCTTAAAGCTCTTAAGGGCAACATTCAGCTCCTGTTAGCAGCCCAAAGTCTCAACTGCATGCCCTGAGAAGCTTTATTCCTTTATGGCCCTGAAATACAAAGGATCATTCTGTTCTAGTTCATGGGACAGCCCCAGGCAGCTCTCCCCAGGTCAGCAGCAGCGTCCCGGGCTCAGGCTCCATTTCAAACACACACTTCCTGAACAATGTGCAGCTGACAACAGCAGGACCAGTAAAAAGACCGAACAAAAATATAATGGAGTGGGCGTGCTCTAAAGTTTATGCTCAGAAAACAGAGCTCAGGCTGGAGGGGGGGAAAACAAAGGAGGAAGAGACAAAGTTCGGAAGTTCCCAGGCTAAACGAAATAGCATCATCCTCCTCTAAAAAACTCCCATAAAACAGTAGGTCACAGCCAGCCTCATTAAGGTCTCCCATTTAGAAAAACGCGCTGCTTTTGTTCCAGATTCCTGGACAGGTTTCTCATTTTATGCCCTGAAAGGTAGTAATGGTTTAATGACACTTTCACAGGAAGCAATTTGGCTGGGGCCAGGCACGCTCCCCACACTCAGGGCTCTCACACAGCTCCCCCAGCAAAGCCATCAGGCCACAGAACTCCAGCACCCCTTGCTGCAGCCCCTCCAGCCACAGGACGGTCTCACCGAGCCCTGAAAAGAGCCTGCAAGCGTTTGGGGCAGGCAGAGCTCTGCCCTGCCATGCACCTCTCGTGTGACAGCGCTCCCCACGGGTTTTGCTTTGGATTGAGCAGAAAGGATAGTTACACATCAGGCGATTTTACAGGAGGCTCTTCCACTTTGGTGGGTGGCTCCACCGGTTTCTGCTCTTCTTCCTGCAAAGCAACGAGTTGGGAGGAGGTCAGAGAGCTTCCCAGCCAGCTGAGCAGCAGCAAAGCGTCACAGCAAGGGCAGCACCAGGTCTTCTGGGTTCTCGGAGGCAATATGCTGCAGTTCAGCCTGACCATACCCTTAGGTTTCTGAATTTCATGCTACTGCAGCTGCTAAGACCACATGTCACCAAGGAACCCAAGCAGCTGTGCCTCCCCATGCTGCTGTCTCCCACTTGAAGGGCTCCTGTGCTTGAAATCTCCTCTCCTCCCCCCCAGTGGGGTCTGACTGCCCAACAAGGCAAAGCGTGCAGTGAGAAGCAACATTAGGTGCTGACAGCCTTCATCTACCAGCATATGAGCAATCCTATGGACATTAATTGCTTGTTCTCTTTTTTTTCTTCTCTTTTTGACCCCAAAGACTCACCAAAAAGCTTGGCATTGACATGCTTAGGAAATTATCCCAATTGAGACATTCTCAAGCCCGCAAGCAGAACCAGCAAAGAGCATCAGAACCCGACAGTGCTCACGCTCTGTATCTGCTGCTCCTCTGGTAAGGCCCTTTCACTTCTCCCACCAACAACTTCACAGACAACAGGACAAAGCTCCCATACGCTGCACACATCTCTGCAGAGCTGTGTGCTGAGCAGCAGAGCTGTTTTCTGCTGGTGCTTTCAGCACAGACAACTCCTCCAGCCAGGATCTCTGCCCAGAACATAAAGCTTCGGTTTTGAGGCTCACTCCCTCCTGCAGGCCAGCTCAGCCAACATGCAGGGCACCAATTTGGTGTTAGGGCCTCCTTGCTAAGTGCACAGCACGCCCCAACTGACATTTGCTGTTAACAGCAAACACAGAACAACAGCACAACTCCTGAAAAGAGGCAGAATTCCCCCTCCTGAAACAGCAGCCACACACCACGACCACAGACTCTTCCAGAAACTTTGGAGCAGCTCTCCTAGGGAATTGGGTTTGTTTAGCTTGGAGAAGAGAAGGCTGTGGGGAGACCTCATGGTGGCCTTCCAGCACGTGAAGGGAGCAGATAAACAGGAGGGGGAACAGCTGTTTGTGAGGGTGGGTGGTGATGGGACAAGGGGCATGGTTTTAAAGTGAGCCAGGGAGGTTTAGGTTGGATATGAGGAGGAAGTTTTTCACACAGGGTGGTGAGGCACTGGAACAGGTTGCCCAAGGAGGCTGTGGATGCCCCATGCCTGCAGGCATTCAGGGCCAGGCTGGATGTGGCTCTGGGCAGCCTGGGCTGCTGGTTGGTGTCCTGCACACAGCAGGGGGTTGGAACTGATGATCATTGTGGTCCTTTTCAACCCAGGCCATTCTATGATGATTCTATGAAACCCCCACACCACCACACACTCCATGCAAACAGGGCAGCACGGATCCTCCAGCACCAAAGCCGGCCGGTTCAGATCCAACAGCGAAGCTCAGCAGTGCTTCGAACACAGCGGAGCTTCTGCGCTGCCGCGGCTCGCTGCACCGCTCTCTCCATGCCCAACACAGCCACCCAGAGGCCAAACGCCGCCAACGCAACAGCCCGTCCCGCAGCTTTACCTCTATTTCTTCTCCCAGAACATCCTCTTCGTTTGCTTCTTCTTCAGCTAAAGAAGAAAACAACGCATCAATCGCCGACACAAATCACTCAGCGATACTTTCGGCTTCTCGGATCAAGCCTTGCTGATAAAACGGGGAGCTGAGAAGCCACGCCGCAGCAAAGCACTCCCACCAGCACTCCCACACAGCAGCTGAAGCCTGGGGGCTCTCTCAGCACGCAAACTGCCCACGGGGGGTGGGGGGGTGGAAATCCCAGCGCTCTGGGTACCCACCGTGCTCCTCCAGGTAGGCCTGCAGCCTGTTGATCAGATCCTGCTTGTTGCCCTTTGCTTCCAGCCCGCGGGCGAGGCACTCCTGCTTCAGCTCGGCCAACTGCGGGGAAGGAGAGCAGCCCGTCAGCACGCGCGATTCGCTCCCAGGCACAAACACCGCGAGGAACACGAGGTGCGATAACACACCGCAAAGCCACCGCTTGTTCATCCCCTTTGTAAGGAGCTCTTCTGGCTCCTTCCTCCTCCTTCCCCACGCACGGGGCTAGGCGCAGGGTCACCCACCGGCGCCCGCAGACGGGGACCGAAGCCTCGCGAAGGGCACCGGGTCGAGCCGCGGCCGAGCAGAGCGCGGCCCCGCGGCCACAGGGCGGAACCGGAGCGCCTCCAAGGCCCGACCTCCCCCACAGCCCCGTTACCGGCGGCAGCCCCGGGACCTGAGCGCGTTGGGAGCCAAGGCCCAGATACAGCAAAGCCCTCCGGGCGTGGGAAGCGATGCCCGAGCCGCAGGGCTGCCGTTAGGAGCGGAGCAGCCGCCGCTACCTTCAACTTGTGGAGCTCCACGGTCTCCGCCGCCATCTTGTCGCCCCCACAGCCCGCTGCCGGCTCCGCCCCCGCCGGCAGCTCACAGCCCAATCACAGCTGCGCTTTCTGAACGGGTGATTTCAAACCGCGGTTCAACATCGCTCCTTGCGATTGGTCGGATCTCGCTGGCTCCTCGCGCTCGCTATTGGTTCGCCAGTGGGCGCGGGGCGGGGAGGTACTGAAGGACAGGCACAGAGACCAATGAAAGCGGAGAAAAGTCACTGAGCAGCCAATGGTGGCAGCGGGTCGGAAGTGAGGTGACTTCCTGGAGACGGGCCTGGGGCGGGCAGGGTCCTGGCAACGGTGTCTGCGGAGCCGGAGGTAAACGGCCGGGAACGGGTCTGAGCCGGGGGACCGGGATCGAAAGGAGCGGGACTGAGGGACCGGAGGGACGCGGCCAGGGCCGAGAGCCAGCGGGATTTAGGGCTGCTTTCCGACCCTACGGCCTCCCTGATGGAGGGAAGTAGGAGGCCGGGCCCAACGTCTGGCGGTGCCGCTCCGTGGGTTGTGCCGGGATCGGGGCCGTGGAGCGGGGCTGTGCTGGGCTGAGAAGCGCGGGGGTCTCCTTCCCAACTCGGAATTCCACGCAGCGCTGCAGGCTCGGGGCTGAGCGGTCAGATGAGTGTGAAGAGGAAATGGACCTGGGGTGCTGGTTGGTGCTCGGCTGAACAGGAGCCAGCAGTGAGCAGGGGGCCAAGAAGGCCAACGGCATCCTGGGCTGCGTTAGAAACAGCTGGGCAGCAGGAGCAGGGAGGGAATCATCCCCTGTACTCAACTCTGGTGAGGCCGCACCTCGAGTGCTGTGCCCAGTTTTGGGCCCCTCACTGCAAGAAAGACACTGAGGAGCGTGTCCAGAGAAGGGCAACGAAATGGTGAGGGGTCTGGAGCACAAGGCTGATGAGGAGCGGCTGAGGGAGCTGGGAATGTTCAGTGTGGAGAAGAGGAGGCTCAGGGGAGACTTCCCTGCGCTCTGCAGCTTCCTGAAGGGAGGTTGTGGTGAGGAGGGGTTTGGCCTCTTCTCCCAGGCAACAAACAGGACCCAAGGAAATGGCCACAGGTTGTACCGGAGGAGGTTTGGGTTGGACATGAGGAAGAACTTTTTCTCTCAGTGGTCAGGCACTGCAATGGCTGCTCAGGGCGGTGGTGGAGTCGCCGTCCCTGGCAGCGCTCAAGGGGATCAGGAGCTGCGAGACACGGCTTAGTGCTTGTGGCAGCGGTGGTGACGGGAGAATGGTTGGCCTGGATGATCTTGGAGGCCCTTTCCACCCTTGTGATTCTATGATTCTATGAATTCTCTATGATTCTGCGTGGGGCGACCGCTGAGGCCCAGAAGCCTTTGGTTCCTTGTAGGATGAACGTCGGCGTGGCACACAGCGAGGTGAACCCCAACACGCGGGTGATGAGCAGCCGTGGGATCTGGCTGGCCTACGTCATCTCGGTGGTGGTGCTTCACATCATCCTCCTCAGCATCCCCTTCTTCAGCATCCCTGTGGTGTGGACGCTCACCAACGTCATCCACAACCTGGTGAGTCACGGCTCAGCTGCTCCCTCACAGGGCCACAGTGCAGCTGATGTTTGTCAGCTGTGTCACAGAGTCACAGAACAGTTGGGTTGGAAGGGACCCAAGGATCACAGAGCTCCAATCCCCACCAATGCAGGGCCACCAACCTCCACATTTCAGAGCTGCCAGGCTGCCCAGGGCCCCATCCAGCCTCCAACACCTCCAGGGATGGACGGGGCATCGCAGCCTCTCTGGGCAGCTGTTCAGCCCCTCACTGCTCTCACAGCACACAACTTCCCTGACATCCAACCTCCATCTGCCCTCCCTCAACTTCATTTCCCCTCGTCCTGCTCTCATCTCCCCTTTCAGCACTGCTGTGCTGCGTGCTGCGCCTTGTCCCCAGCTATGGGAAGTGCTGGGGCTCAACGAATGCTTCCAGACCCAGTTCTGTGGAGAACCATTGCTGACAGAGGTTCCTTGGCCTGGGAAACAGCTGTGAGAGCACACAGCACATTTCTGTCCCGTGGCTTGGCTCTGCACAGAGCTCTCAGCTCTCTCTGCCTTTCCTCCAGTCCCATGTGCTGCTGTTGCCTTCTCACCTCTTGCTGAGGCAGAGGCCAGGCTGCTTTGCCTCCGCCTTGCTCTCCTGGAGCAAAAACTGAGTGCAGCCCCATCTGAAGCTCTGTGCATCCCGGAGCTGCCCAGCTCCATCTCCTTGGCTCCGTCCCGGCGTTCCCTCTGCCTGTGTCCCCATCCTGTGTTCACCTGCTGCCTCCTTTCACTTGAAACCCACAGGTCATGTATTTGCTGTTGCACACAGTGAAGGGAACGCCGTTTGAAACCCCGGACCAAGGCAAGGATCGCCTGCTGACGCACTGGGAGCAGATTGACTACGGGCTGCAGTGCACCTCCTCACGCAAGTTCCTCAGCATCTCCCCCGTAGTGCTGTGAGTGTCCTTTTGTGCTGAACGAGGCGTAGGGGAGCAAGGCGGTGCCGTAGGAGGGCTGCTGCTGGTGCATTCAGTGCATTCAGTGCATTCAGTGCATTCAGTGCATTCAGTGCATTCAGCGCACTCAGCCTTGGCCTAGACAGGTCCCAGAGTTTGGGAAGTTCTCTCAGCTGAGAGGTGCTGGGTTTTATACAGCAAACAGCAGCGATTCAGCCAGAACGGCTGGTTTGGGGAAGCGCAGGGTGGCGCAGAACTAACCTGCACCTCGCTCCCTCCCCAGTTACCTCCTCACCAGCTTCTACACCAAGTACGACCCCGTGCACTTCATGATCAACACCGCCTCCCTGCTCAGCGTCCTCCTGCCCAAGCTGCCCCAGTTCCACGGCGTGAGGGTCTTTGGCATCAACAAATACTGAGCCCACGCTCCCACCGTGCCGTGCAGAGCTTCCCACGGGATGGCAGAGCTGGAGGTGGGCGGCTGGGCAGAGCTGTGGGCTGCAGGGAGGATGCAGGAGCAGGGCTGGGCGCGGGGCTGCCGTGCAGTTTGCATGCAGGTCTTTTTGCAAGGGCTTTTTTGGCAAAGTCCTGCGTCTCTTAGGAGTGCCTCACTGAGGCTTCCTCTCTTGGTGCTTTGGTGAAGAGGTGAGTGGTGGGGCTGCATGGAGCGAGTGAGGCGTGTTGCACGCGTGCTTCCCTTAAGGTAAAGCCCTGCGTGGCAATGGGGAAGCACTCAGAAGGGGAGAACTGTTGACTGGTGGGAAGAGTAACCACCCCACGCCTCCTTTGTCTTCATGTTTTGTACATGTCCGTAATAAAGAACTCACAGAGCAGAGCAGCGTCCTCACATGAAGGGAAAGCAGCAGCCCAGTGCTTGCAGCACATCCTGCATGGCCCCCGTTGCCGTTCCGGAGTCCTATGGTTCAGCTGGTTCCAGCAGTGCCACCGCCTGTGGCACATCAGCTTAGAAGCTCCCTGATTACTTTTCAATATATACATCCGTTTAAAAAAACAACAAAAGAAAAAAACAACAAAAAATAGATTTTATTTGAAAGAAGAGCCCTTGTAGTGCCCAACAGAGCACCATCGTCCCCGGCCAGGGAGAGTCTGTGAGCGCCAAGCCGGGCCTCCACGCGCAGCCCTGCACAGCTCAGCGCTGGAAGGGCCGGCGCACCTTCTTCCTCCTCTTGTGCTTGGTGTCACTCTTGGGGGCGGCCCCCTCGGTCCTTGTGGTCCCAGCTGTGGCCCCCTGGGGAGCTGTGGGGGCAGGGGGAGGCGGGAAGCCCCCAGGCACCTGTCCTGAGGTCCCTTGAAACACACGGGTGAAGAAGTCCTGCAGGTCGGCGGCAGAGCTGGGGCTGCCCTTGGAAGTGCTCCTGGTGGTGGGAAGCAGAGCCGGGTGGGAATCCGGGGGTCCCAATGCAGCCCCGGTGCCCGCGCACAGAGCCCCCCGCTTTGCCCAGCCCCCGGGGTTCCCCGTCCCGCTGCCAGCTCTCACCTCTGCCGCCCGCCCGCGCCAGAACTCCGCACCCCGAAGGAGATGTGGTAGGGGACACGGTGGGTGTCCGGGCAGATCCCCACGCGCTGACAGCCAGCCCATTCTGTGGGGAGACATGTGGCGTCGCGGGGGGCTCGCGCTCACCCTGCTGACACCCAGGGACGCGATGCGCCCACCTGTGATGTCGTAGACCTTGCCATCCATCACGGCAAAGTAGGTGATCTTCAGCCCCAGCAGGCTGGACTCAGCCCACAGGTCGCCCTCCTCGGCGGGGTGCAGCTGGCTGCACTCGGCGCAGTAGCGGGCGCTGAGCGGATCGCGGTCCATCTCAAACCTCCTGCAACAGCAGCGCCATCTCAGCCCCCAGCGCGGCTCTTCAGGGACGGCCTGGAGCGCTGTGCCTGCAGCCGGAGCCCCGGGCCCTACCTGTGCTTGCCCTGGCATTTGCTGCACATCATGGTGTTCATGGCCTCCTTCAGGTCATCCTGCAGCCGGCTCAGGAACTCGCTCACCGATCTGCTCAGCTCGCTCTCTGCCATCCTTTTGCTGCGGCCACCGCAGGGACAGAGCCGCGGTCAGAGCCCTGCGTGGGGCCAGCAGCCAAAGCACCTCCGAGACGCAAGCTTTGGGGCAGGAACTGGAGCGGGCAGCCCCCCTTCTCCCAGCAACCCACCCCCACAGCAGCGCACTCACATCTCGTACTCCTTCCTCTTCTCGGGGCTGCTGACGATGTCCCACGCCGCTCGCAGCACCTTGAAGGCCTCTTCAGCTCGCGGGTGCTCACTTTTATCCGGATGAACCTGGAAAGCACAGAGGACTCAGCGCTGCATCCCGGCAAGGCCGCGAGCAACGCACAGCCGCCACGCACCAGCACGGCCAGCCGCCGATACGCCTTCCTCAGCTCCGCATCCGACGCTGTCATTTCCACTCCCAGCGCCTGGAAGGGGTTCAGCTCCTCCTCGGGCACCTCGGCCATGGCCAGCAGCCGGGACACCTCCTCCGCCGAGCTGCCGGGAGCTCCCATGTCGCAGCCGGGCACGGCATCCCCCGTCCCGCAGCTCGCCCGCAGCTCCTCGGGTGCGCTTCGCCGCC